GCCGCGGGAGCGCGGGCCTGTACGCGGCGCCGCCGCCCTTCGCCAGCCCCTACGCCTGCGCGGCCAGCGACTCCGAGTACTCGGCCGAGTGCGAGTCCCTCTTCCACTCCACCGTGCTGGACACCAGCGAGGACGAGCGCAGCAATTACACCACCAACTGCTTCGGCGACAGCGAGTCCAGCGTGAGCGAGGGCGACTTTGTGGGCGAGAGCACCAGCACCAGCGACTCCGAAGAAAGCGGGGGCTTCATGTGGTCGCAGTTCGTGCAGACCCTCCCTCTCCAGGCGGTCCCAGCCGCCGACCTGCACGGCAACCCCGCCAAAACCTTCGTCAAAATCAAGGCCTCACACACCCTCAAGAGGAAAATCCTGCGATTTCGGTCTGGCTCCTTGAAACTGATGACGACCGTCTGAGTAACATCATTGGTGTAGAAAGTGTTTTTTCCTAGTTGCTGAAGAACAGGTGGCGTCTTAGTTTTTGTGTCATAATTTCACGGAATGCTTTCCTTTTGTTAAAATAAAACCGAGGTAAATTATGTCTCATCTTCGTCATGTGTGGACACTAGTGCCTTGAATGGAAGGTAAAGAATGTTTTGCTGGTTAGAAGTAAATACCGAGTTTTTAATGGTGGTGATAGTGAAGGAATTTTGTGGTATCAGGTGATTTTTACTTTAAATGTTCTGAGCATCTGTGAAGGCGCGGGTTTTGATGTTCAAGTCTGGTTGGGATGAGACCTTTTGATCTGAAGGTCAGGTAAATGGAATTTCAGGACACACATTTGCTTCTTGGTTCTTTAGGGCAGTGTCTCCATGAGGGTTTTTCTGTGGAGGGGCATTACGTACACCTGTGTGAAGTAGGTACGAGGGACAGTCATTGTTTTCTGTAATTTTTTTATATAGTCTACATCTCTCAAATGTATCCCAATTCTGTTTTCTTCTCAGAACTGTTTGACTTACTGGACTCAGAACTTGAAGACCAGACCCTAAATCCAGAGAGCTGGTGACCTGGATAGGGAGCTGGTAATATCTTAAAAGGATTCACTAAAACTTCTGCCACACTTGGTGCCTAGGCCCTGGTTATAGTAACCCCTTCTAGGGCCATTTATCCACCATTTTGATGCCTTTCTCCTTCTCCCTAATTTGCAGCAGATCCAACCATTCTTCCCTTGGAGGACTTGCCTTTGGGATAAAATTTTGGCCATTGGGTACAGAGAAATTCCCTCTTAATGAAGTAACCCTTGGGCATGACTCCAAGCCCGGAATTGCTCACTGAGCGCTGTACCACCTAAGCATTGGCCCGAACACACTAGTGCAATCCAGTCCAGATTGGACCACTCACCCTGTCTGGAAGGGCTTTTTTTTAAAAAGAAAACTTTTTGGTAAACAGTGTTGTGTAAAATTGCCTTTTTTATACCAATATATGCATGTTTTTTGCATGGGTAGTATTTGTTTTGATATTCCTGTTGATGTTAAATTGCTGTATGATATAAACAGTATGTGTTTTTATATATCATTGTGTAAATTTAATATAACACATTATATACTGTAATAAACCATTTGTTTTACTGCTGTTAAGTTTGTTATTTGGGTATAAAACCAGATGTTTACACCTATAAATCTTGTGCTGGTTATTGTGGGTTTTATATTAGGCCTATTCTAGCTTTAAAATATTACTTGCAATAATTAAGGCAGGTTTTAGGAGCATTCTTCAAGTGGATGGCGAGTAAGCAAATGAGGAAAAGCAAACCACTTCTTTAAAATACTTAAGGTACTTTAAAATTGAAGGTAAGTTTTTTTTTTTTTTCCTGAGAAAGATTCACCCTGAGCTAATGTCTGTTGCCAGTTTTCCTCTTTTTTTCCTCCCCCTCCCCAAAGTCCCAGTACATAGTTGTATATTCTAGTTGTAAGTCCTTCTAGTTCTTCTGTGTGAGCCATGGCCACAGCATGGCTACTGACAGACAAGTGGTGTGGTTCCGCACCCGGGAACTGAACCCAGGGTGCCGAAGCAGAGAGCGAGGTACTTTTAACCACTAGGCCATCAGGGCTGGCTCAAATTTAAGGTAAATTTGATAGATGTCTTCTAAGGAAAATATTTCTGAGAAGAGCACCCATCCCCAAACTTTTTAGTATAAAAAATTTCCAACCTGGAAAAGTCGAAAGGATAGTACAATAAACACCTGTGTAGCCACCGCCTAGATTCCACAATTGCTAACATTTTGCCAAGCTTGCTTTAACTCTCTTTATGTATTTATTAGGCTAAACCATATTGCTAGTTTTGTAGGTCAAAGACAGATTTTGGCAATCCTCCCTTTCCCAGCTATACTGCTGGACTATTTTAAAGTAAATTTCATGATATTTCACTTCTAAAAACTTAAGCATGTACTTCCTAAGAACAAGGAGATTTTCCCATATAACCACAATATCATGATCACACCTAAGGAAAACTGACAATAATTTTTAGTATCATCAAATATTTAATCTCTTCAAATTTTCCAAGAGTTTTTTAATAGCAGCTTCCCCCATTCCCCCAACCAGGAATCAGTCAATGTTATGCATTGCATTTGGTTGTAGATCTCCAGTCTTTTTAGTCTAGACTGGTCTCCCCACATTTTTTTTAATGACATTGGGTTTTTAAAGTCAGGATAGTTGTCTTGTAGGAGGGCCCACGTTCTGGATTTGGTTGGTTCCTTATGTTGTCTTTTAACATCTTCTAGTCCCCCTGTTTCCTATAAACTGTGTAAGGCCTGACTGGATTCGAGTTAAACATTCTTGACAAGAAGATTTCACTAGTGATCTTAGGTACTTTTATTGCTTCACATCAAGAACTTAATATCAGGTTGCCTTGCTATTACTGAATTTAAGAGTGATCCCTTGGTGAGCAGAGATTTCTCCATTATAAAGGTTTTTTTTTTTTCTCTCTCTTTGCAAATGGTTAGTATTTGTGGGTGATTCTTTGGTGCTGTGTGGATATCCTGTTCTTTACAACCTTCCACTTAATGCCTTTAGTTTACCTTGCTGATCCTTGCCTTGGGGATGCAAAATGGGAGTTTTCTAAATATCCTTCCTTCTGCTTAAAAAAGAACTTTCCTTATTTTTTTCCTTTTCTTTTTTTGAATATCACTGTGGACTCGGATTTTTATTCATTTGATATCTTACAATCACTTACAGTTATTATTCTTTTAATGCTCAACATATCCCAAATTTGGCCAGTGGGAGGATAAATTTTGTTAAAAGGAAACTGTAGAATCAGCTCAGTCTCATAATTCATATATTTAATATGAAATGTGCTCAATTAAAACAAATTTTTCAAATGCTAGATTTCAATGCAACAAAAATCACTTAATTACCTGTTTTTTGATTCTGTCTTGGAAATTTTCTCTTTTCCTATACTTCATATACCTCTTATCTCTAAGAAGGCTTTTAACTTTGGAACGCAGCAAATTATTTCTCCATGGCTTGTAAAGGTCAGACATCTTTTTTTTTCAACAAGACACTTTTTTTTCAGCAAGACATCTTTTTAGCAAGACATCTCAGAGAATTCAATTCTTCAAAATGTTGTAGAGTTGCTAGTCTTTTGGTATTGATATGTTTTTATATATGCAACCAGTCATTCTGCTTTGACTAGAATTTCTTTGATTACCTGATTAAATCTAAGCCAAGTGCAAGCGAGGGATGATCTCACCATCTTTTCTAAGGCTGTGATCCAATCTCTTTGGGTGCAGGATATAAAGTTTATCCTGTGAGGCAACTGTGACCTGCAGTTATTTCTTGAATCGTTTCCAAATTGTTCTCAATGAGCATTATTCTCGGAAGGGGACGCTTTTTGAAAACCGGCTTCTGAATAATTACATTTTAAGTGACAGAACGCCAAACGAAGAGAAGCGTGAAAAACAGGATTTTCACAGAACCCTGGGTTTGGCCTCCTCTGTCTGTTGCTTGACTTACCTGTAGCTGGCAGTTGTACTGCATTCGGAAAATTGGGTTTTGTTCATTATTTTCAATGACAAAATAGCTGCTATTGTTGTTGCAAACAAAAGAGTTCTTTAAAATAGTTTCCTTTATTTAAATAAATTACAAATGCTCATTGTCAAAAAAGAAAAAATATATCTGAACAAAGCACAGGTGTTTAAACTCTTCTCTCTTCTCCTTAAATCCTATTCTTCAATAAATTTGGTATGTATATTTCCATACTCTGTTATATATACATAAAAATATATAATCTTTACATTTTTTCTTCAAAACGAAGTCTCAATCTATATGTATTAATTTGTAACTTGATTCCTTCATTTCATGGACCTATATAGTGGGTATAATTCCCAGTTCTTTTTAATGGGGTTCCAAGTGTTTCCTCACTGAGGAAAAAGGCACTAGATTTTATGGGCTACTTGTTTGCCTTGCTTAGAAAGATTCCAATATTTAGCAACAAAAGTGTTACCCAAGTGCCATACATTTGCACACTTATTGCCTTTCTAGTTTTCTCACGTATTTTGTTATTTTGTATTATGAGCTCACTCTCAGTGGGGTATTATTGGGGAAATCCTGTGAGGCTTGATTAAGGATTTTGCCATACCAAGAAGCTTTGTGTTTTTTCTGCCAGGCACCTCAAGGACATTTCCAGGCTGGACAACCTTTTAAGTTAATTTCTCTATTTTGGGGTTACCTGACTACAGAGGTAGTATAAATTCAAATCCTAAACCACAAGAAGATAGGCTGTGGTTACATGTTCTCAGAGGAGACCTTTCCCAAGGCAGAAGAGCTTCCTTATTTTCATCCTGGGCCAGAAAGCAGGGTTTTTTTTCTTGGACCAACCTTGCACTGAGGGTGTAGCCCTTCAGTGCTCCCAGGAATATGGGGAAGTCTCAGTTCCAAATTCTGCCCTGTGAGGGCCAACTCCTTGTCCCTGAGGCCTGTTTAAACCAAACCCCTTGCTTAAGGGACCAACAACCTCTCCCCCTGCTCTCCAAGGGTAGACCAAACTTGGTTGCCTTTCTTTCTAGTGGAATCAATATACACTTAAGAGGATGTTTGTTAATAGTTTATCCATCATTTCTAAATGTTTTACAGTGAGATGACTAGGTTATCTAGCCCACCGTATAGCTGGAAACAAACACCAGAGAGCTCTTTGTTGCCTTTGCCGATAGTTGGATTTTCCTTTCCTCCTTTTATTTTTGGTACAATTTTATTGAGACACAATTGTAGTACAGTAAAATGCACATATTTGAACTGTACAATTTGATCAGTCTTGACACGCGTATACACCTGCATAACCACCACAATCAATATAACAAATGTTTTAATCCTTCCAAAAGTTTCCTTGAGACCCTTTGTAGTCCATCTCTTCCTCCACCATGTTCCCCAGGCAATATATTTTCTAGAATTCTATATTTTCTAGAATTCTATATAAATGAAATTAAACAGCGTGTACATTTTTTTGCCCAAATTTTCATTCTGCATAATGGTTTTAAGATTTGTCCATGTTGTTTCATGTCTCAGTAGTTCATTCTTTTTTATTGCTGAATTGTATTCCTTTGTATAGATATATAACAATTTGTTTATCCCATTTACTTGTTGACAGACAGTTGGGTTGTTTCCAGCTTGAGTCTATTACAAATAAGCCGTGAAGAGCATTCACACACAGGTCTTTGTGTGGATAGATGTCTTTGTTTCTCTTGGGCAAATACTCAGGAGTGGGATGCCTTGGTCTGATGGTAGGGCATATGTTTAACTTTTTTAGAAATTGCAAAAAATTGCAAAAAATGGTACTGATTGTACCATTTTACATTCCTACCGGCAATGTATAAGAGTTTCGTTTGCTCCATGTCCTCCCTATCATTTGGCCTGCTCAGTCTTTAAAATTGTAGCCAATTTAATGGATGTGTAATGGTATCTCATTGTGGTTTTAATTTGAATTTCCCTGATAACTAATGATGATGAGAATCTTTTCATGTGCTTATTGGCCATCTGTATATCTTCTTTGGTGAAGAGTCTATTCAAATAGTTTGTCCATTTAAAAAATTGAGTTGTTGGGCTTATTGAGTTGTAAGAGTTTTTTTTTTTAATTTTATAAATTCCATGTAAAAGCCCTTTGATATATGTTGTGAATCTTTTCTCCCAGTCTGTGGCTTGCCTTCTCACTTTCTTAATGATGCCTTATGAAGAACAAAAGTTTTTAATTTTGATCAAGTACAATTTTCTACTTTTTCTTTTACAGTTTGTGATTTTGGTGTCCCATCTAGGAAACCTTTGCCTATTCCAAGGTTGCAGAGATTCTCTCCTATGCTTTCTTCTAGAAGTTTATGGTTTTGGGTTTACATATAGGTCAATGATCTAGTTTGAGTTAATTTTGGGGTATGATGTGGAATAAGTCTAGATGCTCAATTTTTTTGAACAGATATTTAGTTGGTCTAGCACTATTTTTTTTTTAAATTTTTTGTTTATTGCAGTAACATTGGTTTATGACATTGTAAAAATTTCAGGTGTACATCATTGTACTTCTATTTCTGCATAGATTACCTCATGTTCACCACCAAAATACTAGTTACAACCCATCACCACACACATGTACCGAATTATCCCTTTCACCCTCCTCCCTCCCCCCTTCCCCTCTGGTAACCACC